AAAGTCTTCTGGTGCCTCAAATGGAATTGAGAGGGATTTAAACTCAGCGCTTTTGAGTGTGGTGAAATGAACCCAGCAGTACATTAATGCTGGGATTTGAGCTCACACAGCATGAAGCGCTTTCAGAAACCGTGTTTAAGGAAGCAAACAGAGCCACGACAGGCCCTTTCAGTGGAGCAAAAGGAGTTGGATGAAACAATCAATGACACATTAAAAACCACAACTGGGCTGCAGTCATGTGGCCAGGGAAAAAATTTCTCTTTATCACAGGATCTTCTCAGCTAATGAGATGGTGACTGGACAACCTCCAGAGGGGCAAGGCCTCCGTTTACTTTAGCTGAGAAATGTCTAAATATTTGGTTAATTCTCTAAAAAGCCCTACACGATTCTGTAGCAAACTGGTCTCTAAGGGATGATCTTATCAGCTCTATATTGCCATTGGGAAAATCTACTTAAAGGGACTTTGGAAAAGTCGGGAGACGTTACTATTGAAAATACAAAGGAACTCATTTTTCTTTTTTTTTTCTCTTAAAATTAACTTTTCTAATGTTCTGCAAATACTTGGTTTAGGATCAACAGCTTGCCAGTTAGTAACTTCTCTGAATTGGTTCTAAACGGTTCTCCTCGTTCTTATGTATTCTTTATTTCCATCGGTTCTGATGGTGAAACATAGGCTGTGTGGTTCGGCAAATCCACTGTCCAGTTGGACCCTAAAATGCTCAGGACCCAAAAGTGGAGTGACTCCTGAGTGCATTTTCTTGGGCAGTGAAGGAAGAAGCTAAGAAGGCTTAAGGAACTTTGTAAAAATATCTTCAGGGGTTCACAGTTGATTCACACTACTGTCTTGTATTAGCAGATTTTTAGCCAAGATGATTATCCAGTTTGCTCAAAGCTTCGGGGCTTTTCGGTGCCACAAACCCAGTACATCCCAGATACAGTATCATTTGGGGTTTTATTCTTCATGGATTTGCCAATGGTAGGATCCCCTCCAGCACACGATTCTTTATTATTGCTTCCTTTGGAAACTTATTCAGGATTACCAAGATTTCTCCCCTCCCCCACTGCCTAGTCCCAGTTCTCTGCCACTTTGATTAATGTGTCTTGGCTAATTGTGTGAAAGATGGCAGCCCTTTAGCAAGTGTGACCAGTTTATTGTTCAGCCAATCACCAGCGCCTCAGTTAGCATGTGAAAAGGGGGTGTGTTGCTGGGGGAGGGTGAGTGTTCTGGCGGCTAAGTCAAAGGAGGAGCGTTTTGGGGGGTCACAGAGCAACACCCACTTCTTTGAGGGGATGTTACTATGCTCTACTAAACCTGTAAACCTCTTACTCAAAGCACTTTCTTTCTCCTCCCTCTTTTTTCAAGGAGATCTTTTTTTCCCATGGTGCAAGCAGGCAAGACACTGGCTACTCTGCAGATGGAGTTCACGTTCCAGGGTTTTTAATATTTCACTTTTATATTTCTGTTAGAGAATGATCCTGCTGAGAGTCTGGGAATCCATGCTCCTCAGAACCCCCTCACTGACACTCAGATATATTGCTCTGAAAGCTATCCCAGGAGAAAAGATTAAACAAAACAAAAAAAAAAGGGGGCCTACTTTTCAAAGCCTACTTCTCAATCTGCCCACATCAAAATAAGACAACTGGCCCTTTGAAGTGGAGGACACAGAGTTCTCAGCCAGCTTGCTTAAAATGGGGAGTGAAGGAGAAAGAAGGAAGGAAAGAATGAATATCTTGCCCACATTTAATCAGGCACAAGATTCTTAATTGATGGCTAGAAAACCTACAACCCTGCTCATCTTAACTGGTCAAGAAACCTGTCCCCTGGATTAGCACCAGGATTTTTTTTTTCTTTCTCCCTTAACCTGTACAGTGGGTTTGGTTTGGTTTGGTACAAACAGAAGTTGTGTTGTCCTATTAGACATAATCCAGACAGGGCCTGGAGATGGCAAACTGGGCATGGGTGGACACTGGATGGTTCTGCCAAGTTCTGAGCCCTCCAGCTCCCGCAGAGTTGTACAGGCTGAACTGAAAGTTTAGGGGCTCTTACTACTACTTAGAATGAAAAGGAAAGGAATGGGAATAATATCCAGAATGGTGTGAACACAATTTTCATCTGTGACATTTCTCTGGTTCCAATTTCCTTTTCTGTATCTTTTTAATAGAGTCTCTGGGTGGTGCAAATAGTTAACGAGGGCTTGGCTGCTAACTGAAACCTTTAAAGTTTGATTCTACTCAGAGGTACCTGGGAAGAAAGGTTTGGTGATCCAAAAAAAAAAAACTACAATTGAAAACCCTATAGAGCACAGTTCTGTTCTAACACACATAGGCTTGCTATGAGTTGGAGCTGACTCCACAGCAACTAGTTTACTCCTTTAATGGAGATCACATGCACTGAAGCAGAGCAGCTCAGGCAGGGAAAAGGGCGGGAGGTGTTAAAAGGGACTTCTCGATTCGTGTAAGGGGATGCTCCTCCAATACAGATGTTGACGACTATTTTAAAATCTATTTGTCCATATGATTTTGAATTATCAACAATACTACCCCATGCCCAAGATAGGCTGGACTTTTAAGATTTACTAATAGAGAGTTAGACATCTTGGCTGTGGCTAAGGTTACAACTCCCTTCCCTCGGTGAGCTCAGCCTGGCCCACAGCCACAAGCTGCCCAAGCCTAGAGAAGCACAGCTTACAAATGAGCGTAAGAGGAATAAGGAGAGCTGTGAAAGGATGTAGATGAATGCGTGAGTGCAAACCCAAGCTCCAGAGATCAAAGAACACACCTTATCCACCCATACAGCCCCCGCACACAACACAGCACCTGACGGATAGTAGGCACTTGAAAAGTTTTGACTGATTTGAATTAAACTGAATCCTTAGAAGAAAAAATAATGTAAAATACGTGCCCTATTGAAGTTGGGCCTGGAGAATTATCTTCCTAGATACAAAATTGGGCATTACTTTGAAATGTCAGCTAAATGAAAAATGCAACATATTTCTCACGATTTTATTAGAACCCAGTTATCTTATTTGGTATGGAATCCAGCAGGGCACAAGCATTTTTGCCCATTTTCTATCATTATTGTTCTCACCAAGGCATTTTGTACTATGGATCACTGCTTACTGCTGGAATCAACATGAAATCCAAATATTTGAGGTTTAGGGGAGTAGCGTATGCTCACCATGATACCTTTGTCCTGACATCATTTAAATATTGTTTTCTAAAACCTACCTGACACCTTAGCTTCTGATTCCATTCATGTTAGGAAGCCCAAGAAGGTAAAGCCTACTGCCATCAAGTCAATTCCAGTCCATAGAGACCCTTTAGGACAGAGTAAAACTGTCTCATGGGGTTTCCACAGCTGCAAATCTTTGCAGAAGCAAACTGCCTCATCTTTCTCCCATGGAGTGGCTGGTGGGTTTGAACTGTTGACCTTTTGGTTAGCAGCCAAATGCTTTAACCACTATACTACCAGAGCTCCTTTTTTAGAAAACAAAATAAAACTTCTAATTGTGATTTGGGTGAAATTTACCGCCAGACACTAGCGCTCCCTGAAGAAGGTAAAGGGGTTATATTTTCACCTGGAGAAGAGGGTGGGTAGGGAAAGGGACAGATAGGCAGGGTAGGAAAAGATGAGATACAGGTTCTTCTGGAAACTACGGCAACTGCAGACAAGAAGCAGTGCAGACAGCCATGGTCTCCACAAGAAGCCTGATATTATGCTTCCCTATCCCAGATAAAAAGAAATTCTAAACTTCGTGGTCAGAGAATTTTTTTTTTTTTTATTTGCTAAATACTGGCAAAATAGTTAGAAAAGGTGAACCATTTGTAAATATCATTAAGGTACTTAGCATTCAAAAACAAATGAAAGGACTTTACAGTTAATCTTTAGCTTTCTGTATGATCCCCCTAATCCTGGTGAGTTCAAGATGTCTGATCTCTACATATACATATTATTAGATGCTAGAGAAAAGAGGAAGAAAATAATCTCCAACTGCCTACGTCTTCTGTTTTCTGTTCAATCACTTTTTAAATCTCCCTAGATACAAATGCTTCTCTCATAAATCCTGTCCAGAATCATTTCATACCAACGTTAGTAATCACAACAATTAGGAAAGAATCTGTTTGTAGTAGTAGGGCAATGTGAAAGTAAAAAGACTAGAAAATCTGGCTTGATCCCTATTTACCCTTGCCTTGTCCTTATCTGTAAGTATCTACCTTTCCTTTGAGCCTGACAGTGAGAGTGGAGCTTTGATATGGCCACTGCACTTGCTTCTTTCTGTAGCCTCGGATACAGCCCTTCATCCATACTGATCATCTCTTCTCTTCTCTATTAACATCCTTGAAGTGGCCACTGGATAATCTGATCCCTCTGGCTTGGCCATGGGACTCCTCCTCAAAGACTTCCCCATGAGCAACAATTTCATCACTTCCTAATTCACTCCCCCCCAACCCCAGCCAGTCTTGGAGAACCAAATGTGCAGCAGAAATTACTAAGTGTCAAGTCTAGAGGCAATGGATGAATTCTTGGTAAATATAATCTAGAGATACATTACCTGGCTTGTCTTAGGCCTAGTGGGCCTCTAACTCCCTTGGTTATATTCACTTTCTTTTATTTTTTATGAAGTGCAATTACTAGCAAGTAAACTCAGTGATAGTCATAGGGCTCAAGTGTTAGATAATCTTTTGAGTTGTTCTTTTGTGTCAATAGGTGTAAAGAAATGGATGTGGAACCCATATAATAGTCATTGCAAATTCTTCGTTTGCTAGAGTATTTTTACAGAGTTGTTTGTGTTTTGCAGAGTTGGGAAACTGATCTAACCCTGACTACTGTTTCAGTATCTTCATTGTAAAAGGATTCACTAGGGAATATATGACCACAGAAACTCATCTAGACCTATCTTTGTTATAGAGCTGACAATACAAGAACACTCTGCTTTTGTAGCCATTGCTCTCATTAATTGTTAATAATCAGGGCATTTGGAAGCATATGTCAATATTACCTGGATTGTAGTTAGGTAGCTTGGAGACTCCAGGCCAAGTATCCTCGGTGGGGACTCCCAACACCTATAGAAAACAAAAAAGGTGTGCATGTGGGGGAGACAAGGCAGATGGACCATAAAAGACAGATTAGGGAGAAATAGGGAAGAAGTAGATGCAGGTCACATTACACTAGTGCTTCCAACATTGGTAGCCTCTTGGGCAAAACTGTAGTGTATTCCTATGGTCTAGAGCCTGTGTCTTCACTAATTCACTAGTTATTCTGAGGCAGATTATATAGCCTTCCTTAAAGTCATATCCTCATCACTAAGCATTTATTGTGTGGTCATCATGCACAAGATGCCATGTTGGGAGTTGGGAATTAAAGAGGTAGGAGTGAATGTCCTATTGCCTTACATCAGATAGTCATAAGTATATCGACAGGAGACACTTGACAGTGTAAATTACACCCGGTATGGGCATTCAGCTGTTCCCTAATATGTTCAAATTAAAAAGGATTCAAATTATTGACCTTTAAGGAGTAGAATGCTGGCTAAAAATGAACACAAACCTTTCTATGAAATTCATCTCATCTGCTTATATTCTCTGTGGTCCAGCAGTTTGGAATATCAGATTTGGAATATCATTACTAGATTATAACAGTAACAATATCACTTGAAAAACAATCAGCCTTGGCTTTGGATTTACCAAATTGAAGGTCCAGTTTTTAAATTAAAATGTTATGTGAAAATAAGTGTTTGGAGTACAAAACCCAAAAAGTTCAGATTTTAGATGGAGCTGTCTGTCACTAGGAGTCCCCCTGTGGGAATCGTTTTACCATTCTATTAAGGATATTATCTGATAATCATAAGACCCATAGCCAGTAATATGTAGGAGCCATAGTAATGTTGTTTTTGGATTAGTAAAATATTAATAAAAATAAATTGGTAAAACATTAATATATTTCATTCTAACTCTACACCACTAAAGTATAACTCTTCTTAGAATTTTCTCTTATAGAAAGAGTCCAGTGACTCTCTCTGTAAAGCAATAAATACAGATGCCAGCCCAATTGTTCTGGCAGCAAGTCAATTGCCCAACATAGATGGAATATAATCAGTGACGAATCTAGAATCTTACCAGCTTGTTGACTAGGACTCTGGCTGAGAGGTATACTTTTTGGTGCCTATTAAGGTTGCCCTTACACAAAAGACATTGAAGTGCTATTTTCCCTTATAATAATAATAATAAAAAATCATGCCACCCAGTAAAATCTTCCTTCTTTGATCCATTCCCTAAACAAACTGAAAAGCTACTGAGAGGATTATAGGCTTTTCCTATTAACCACACTGATCCTGAGGGAACACTAAGAATCCTGGAATCCATTTTGATAAACCAACTGGACTAATTCTTCTTTTGTGGGAGAGGGCCGGAGGATGGGGAGCTAATTCTTCTTTTTCAAACCCACAATCTTATGTCTTTGCACAGATGCACGTGTAAACAAGTGGATGTGAGTCACATGTCCCCATATGTCTTGTGTTGGCTGGAAAGCATAAAGAAAAGAAAGCAAAGGCAATGAAGAGAAAGCATTAAAGGGAATAATTAATGACTACATCCATGTCTTGTCTAAGGTGAAAGTTATCAGAATTGTTGATTATCCTGTGCTGTGTTTAACTAAAGCTAACAAAAAGAATACTTTTTTTCTTAAATTTTTAAACTTGAGATTTTAAGTTTAAACAAAAATGAAACATACTTTATTTGGGAAGATTATGCTTAAGTTTTTTTATCAGGAATTTACTGAATTCTTTTACACTGAGAAAATTACTAAATCTTCACTTTACTGTCTGGGAAACTAAAACTCCAAAACTGTTAATTTATTCTTTCCTTGAAGGCTCTTAAAAGGCAACTAGTGAGTGATGTTTCAACCACAGTGGGCTGGAAGGGCAGTTTATCTACATTTTCAGAATGGAAACTAAAGGTATTTTGATGAATGGATTTAAAGTCTACATAGTTTATTTTATTCTAATTTTAGAACTGAACCCAAGATTATTTGCTAAAAAAAATTTTACTGAAACAATTAGCTTTTTTTTTTTTTATTTTATTTTTAAAGCTGGTTAGAAAATGGTAATAGCTATTCAGGTGTGAAAATACACACACATTTCAGGAAGATGGTAAAGATTCAGGACTTTTCTTTATGTCTTTATTCCTAAACATGACATCTCGGAATAAATATAGAGGAAAATTGTAGATAGAGGTTAGGAGATTTAGAATGCACTAATTGCTTTCAACAAAGCAATTCCTACATCAAATATCATAGGAGCTCTGGTAGCCGTAGTGCCTAAGGCACTTGACTGCTAACCAGAAGGCTAGCAGTTCAAACCCACCACCCACTCCTCAGAAGGAAGATGGGGCAATCTACTTCCATAGTTAGTGATACAGTCTCGGAAACCCAAGGAGGGGTCGCTATGAGTCGGGTCTGACTGGACGGCACATAACAACAACAACATCAAATATCATAGAATCCAAAATAGCTTTCCTATTTCTCTCTGTGTAGACCACATTTAATAGAGCACATGTTCAGGGGGCTATTTATATTTAATTTTCTAACTTGCTTGAGGTATAGTGGTATAAAAGAGAACACACATCCTGAATGTAGTGACTTTCCCAATTTGTCTTCGGATCTTGGAACTACAGACATGATAACAAAACTGTGACCTCTACCTGCCTGGAGATCAGGAGGAAAATGAAATTCAATGAATCTGACCTCCTAGTGCCCATAAAGTATAGCTAAGAAATATAGAAGTACAGGTTGAAAGTCAACAGTGAGCAATGTGAATTGATAAACTTGAAAAATAACTTACTGGGGGTAAAATTGAGTGAACAGAGAAGAATATTCATTATAAAATGTGGAAGTGGTAGTATTCTCTTTAAATTTTGTTTAAAGAAGCCACAACTTCATGGAGTCAGAGAATCCAATCTCATTTAAAACTTTGAAGCCAAGGGAGGTTGGTCATGTGAGCGGCTCTTCTTCATATCTCAAGGTAGAGCTCGGTTGGAACTCATGTCCCTTGACTCCAGGCCAGTGTTATTTCTAATGTTTATTTGTTTTAAATTTGTAATGAGCTGCCATAAATGTCTAAATGAAGTCCCTTTGATTTACTGCAGTGTGATAACAATAATGGTAGAAATGAACATGGCTTCCTGGGCAGGACTTGCTGGACTGATTTGTTAAGACATGTTTGTTTTTGCTGCATCACTTATTCTGTGCAATTTTATGTCCAGATTCAAGTCCAAATTCGTTCATCTACTATGTTATTTCAAATATCCTTCAGAGGGCCTGTTTTAGTCACGAAGACCAGTTCTGGAAGCTTGAACTTGCCCGTCAGATCCCGGGAAACATCCAGCCTGTTCTTTCTGTACTAGGATTTCTAAGTGCTGTTCTAAATGCAAAGAACTATAAATGATTCCTTTTAAGAGTACTATTATTGTTGTTGTTTGCCATTGAGTCAGCCCCGACTCATAGTGGCCCCTCTTTGGGCTTCCGAGACAGTATCGCTATGGAAGTAGATCGCTCAACCTTCCTTCCGAGGAGTGGCTGGTGGGTTTGAACCGCCAACCTTCTGGTTAGCAGTCAAGTGTCTTAGGCACTATGCTATCAGAGCTGCTTTTTAGGAGCATGGTCATGTAAAAATAGTAAGTAATATAAAAAATCGGTTGATATATAACTTTCAAACTATGCTAATAGCACACAAGAATATGCTAATATTAACACTTTTTCTAATAAAAACAGTTGGCTGTCGAATTGATTCCAACTCCCGGCAACCCTATGCGTCAGAGTAGAAGAATATGCCGAAGTAACAATGGCAGTAATTGCCTTGTGAGGTTGAGATCATAGTAATAGGGAACAGGAGACTTGAACGCTGTCAGTAAGGGGCTGCTATGTGCCAACAGGGGGTTTCTTGACCACTCATCCCCCAAGGTGCTCACATTTGTGGCAAACACCAACCTTCATATATGGCTCAACGTCTCAAAGCAGATGGACTACTTCATTGGCCTCTAAGGCAAATTTGGCTCAAAGTTTGAAATGCTGATATTTATTTTAAAAACTTACAAGGAATTATTCTCTTACCTCCCAGATCTTCTCCAGCTGTTCAAGGATGTTGGAAACCCCAGGAAACAAAGGTTGACCCTGGAACATTTCAATAAAGATGCAGCCTGCACCCCTAGCAAAGGAAACAGGACTTAATCCAATGCTTTTCAAAGAAACCATATACAGGAAACCAAACTACCAACGGTTCTCCTCCCAAGAAGTATTTCCAGGACAGTTAAATAGGGCCACGTGCTATTAAACGTTTTTGGGGAAAAGAAAGTTTTTATGTCAAAATTAAGAACAGTCTGCAGATTTTTAAAAAGGGAACACAACCAGAAGTTAGGAACACAGTACAGACAGCAGATATTTTAGCTCATCCAAGTTCATTAGCTGTCCATTTTATAAGGAGAGAAAGCACTGAAACTCCAAATCTAATGCTCTCGTTCACTGAGTCTTAGATGTTATCATTTGTAAGAGGCATCATTATTTTATGTACCATTAAGAAACCAAAGCCAAAATGAAACAAACAAAAAAAACCTCTGCAAATAAAATATGACACGATGACTGGAATGTTTATTTTATATTTATTTTAATAGTTGTTATCAATTTAACTTGACATAGATATTTTTATCATATGTCATACTTATATATGCAAAAATGAAACATAAAAACAAAAACAAAACTCACTGCCGTCGTGTCAGATCCAACTTACAGCAACCCCTCCTTGGGTTTCCAAGGCAGTATCACTACAGAAGTAGATTGTCCAATCTTCCTTCCCAGGAGTGGCTGGTAGGTTTAAACCATCAGCCTTCTGGTTAGCAGTCAAATGCCTTAGGCATAAAGTGAAATAAATTGGTTGCCAAATTGGTTTAGGTATTCCTAAAATATTTTTACATTCATCTTTCAACTCAGACTCTTTGATGTCTATGTTTACCTATGGTATCATCCACTGTGGCAAGTTTGATGATGTAGCATTTCTTAAAAGAATCTATAAAAGATCTAAGAGCCAGTAGTGCTGGGCTCCTAAAACGGATTAATAGAGTTAGCCTATTTCTGACTCCTACTTAAAGAATGTTGCTAAACATGTCTGATTCACTCTCTCCCCAAAACCATTTGTTCCTAAAGTCAAAAAAAAAAAAAGAAGAAGAAGAAGAAGCAGCAGCAGCAGCAGCAGCAGCAGCAGCTTTCTTGTCTGCAAGACTTTCTTCCAAGTCACTGACACCCATTCTACAAATTTTGATGCTGCCACATTTGATGTTCACACATATGCAGTGGTAACAATCATCACAAATTCAGCCTGTTTGGCTGCTATTGTAAGATACCACTGATTTTAGGTAGCATCCAGACTTAATAGGAAATGTGCATCTTAAAGTAAAATTTCAAAGGAATTCTTGCATATAAAAAAGTAGATCAAATAGAATAAAATAAATTTTTTTTTCTATGTGGCCAAGGAGAGGTCACTGTGAGTCGAATCAACTCGACAGCAGTGAGGGTTTTTTTTTTTTTTTTAATGTGGCCAAACCAGAGGATAATTTCTGAAAGATAGTAAGAAGTAAGAGTTATTACGTTAATAAATCAAATTTTTATTCTTATAAGACTTTTGAGTGCCAAAATGGTTCAGGTGACCAATCAATTACAGAGGTTATTCTTACAAGTTTCCATAAATTGTTTTGCCATTTGTATGCAGCATGATCAAGAAGGAATTATAAGCAAAACATTTTATTATAGATCATCATATCATTAAAGATTTATTATCAAGTTCATTTTAAATATGACACTTAATATTATTTGTGTGTATTAATTACATATGATACATTTTTACTTTCCCATCTGCCTATAGACACATGCTACTTAATTTACTTTAATTGTGTAAGAGAAGGCAGATTTCTTCACAAATTTAAAAATAATTTTTATATTGTGTCTAGTTTGGGGACAGAATATATATTAAAAGAAAGATCAAAATTTATGCGTCATCATGACAAAATAGACAAGTACTATTTTCATGACCTGACATTTGGTTTGCAGCTATAATAATCAATTGGCTAATTCTTAGAATTTTCTAAGAGAAGATACTAGACTGCAAGTTTTTTTTTCCTTCCTCAAACAACAGGTTTTTCCTTTTTTTTTAGAAAGCCAGTTCTCTTTATTGATTTTTGAAGTACAAGAGATATTTTGATGGGCAATACAAGAATATTAATCAGATGAGTGGTGTTGTTGTTGTTATGTGCCGTCGAGTCGGCCCCGACTCACAGCGACCCCTCCTTGGGTTTCCAAGGCAGTATCACTACGGAAGTAGGATTGCCCAACCTTCCTTCCGAGGAGTGGCTGGTGGGTTTGAACCGCCAGCCTTCTGGTTAGCAGTCAAGTGCTTTAGCCACTATGTTACCAGAGCTCCAAACTTACGAATCTGGTGAAGCGTATCTTGAAGTGAATTTTTGGAATTATTGTCATTTTTAAGCCCTTCATTAACTTGAATTTAAATATCCATGTTCTTTTTGCTTCCTGTCTTTAAACCAACAGATTAAAAAGATATAAGTTGTATAATATAATATGGAGGAGAATAAAAGTAATGGAAACTTTCCAGTGGTTAAAAACCATTTAGTGGTTGCTAAACCCAAAACCAAACCCACTGCCATCAAGTTGATTCCAACTCATAGGACCCTTGAGGACAGAGGAGAACTGCCCCGTAGAATTTCCAAACCTATAAATCTTTACGGAAGCACACTGCCTCATCTGTGTCCCCCATAGCAGCTGTTGATTTGAACCATCTACCTTTTGGTTAGCAGCCAAATGCTTTAACCACTATGCTACCAGAATATATTTCCTTGTTGCTGTGTTGCTGTTGTTAGGTGCCATTGAGTTTTGACTCAGAGACCCTATGTACAACAGAAGGAATCACTGCCCAATCCTGTGCCTCCACGCAATTGTTGCCATGCTTGAGCCCATCATCACAGCCATTGTGTCAATTCATGTTGTTGAGGGTCTTCCCCCTTTTCACTGACCCTGTACTTGACCCACCATGATATCCTTCTCCAGGGACTGGTGTCTTCTGACAACATGACCAATGTATGAGTGCCAAAGTCTGGTCCTTTTTACTTCTAAGGAACATTCTTTCTGTATTTCCTCCAAGACAGATTTGTTCATTCTTCCAGCAGTCCATCATACCGTAAATATCCTTTCCCAGCACCACGTTAAATATCCTTTGCCAACACCACAGTTCAAAGCCATAAATTCTTCTGCAGTCTTTCTTATTCATTGTCCAGCTCTTATATGCACATGAGGCTACTGAAAATGCCACAGCTTGTGTTAGGTGCACCTTAGTCTTCAAAATGACATCTTTGCTCTTAAACACTTTAAAGAGGTCTGTTTGTAGCAGATTTGCCCAATGCAATAGGTCGTTTGATTTTTGACTGCTGTTTACATAGGTGTTGATTGTGGATCCAAATAAAATTAAATTCTTGACAAATTCAATCTTTTCCCCACTTATCATTATAGTGTTTTTTAGTCCAGTTGTAAGGGTTTTTTTGTTTTCTTTATATTGGGGTGCCATCTATACTAAAGGCTATATAGTCTTTGATCTTCATCAGTAAGTGCTTCAAGTCTTCTTCACTTTCAGTAAGTTGCATCATTTGCATATCACAGGTTGTTAATGATTCTTCCTCCAATCCTGATGCCACACTCTTCTTCATATTACCCACCTCTTCGCATTATTTGCTCAGCATACATGTTGAATAAGTATTAAACAAACAAACAAACCTGCTGCCGTTAAGTTGGATCCGACTCATAGTGACCCCTCCTTGGGTTTCCGAGGCAGTATCACTGAGGAAGTAGATTGCCCAACTTCCCTTCCGAGGAGTGGCTGGTGAGTTTGAACCGCCAGCCTTCTGGTTAGCCAAATGTCTTAGGCACTATGCCACCAGAGCTCCTTGAATAAGTATGGTAAAAGGATATAACCTTGAGGCACACCTTTCTTCATTATAAACCATGCAGCATCCTCTTGTTCTGCCTGAATAACTGCCTCTTGGTCTATGTACAGGTTCCTCGTGAGCACAATTATGTGCTCTGGTATTCCCTTTCTTCACAATGTTATCCATAATTTGTTATGATCCACACAGCTGAATGTATTTGTATACTCAATAAAACACAGGTAAAAATCTTTTTTGGCAGTCTCTGCTTTCAGCCAAGATCCATTTGCCATCAGTAATGATATCCACCATTCCATGCCTTCTGAATGCAGCTTGAATTTCTGGCAGTTTCCTATCAAAATACTGCTACAACTGTGTTTGAATTATCTTCAGCAAAATTTTATTTAAGTGTGATATTAATGATAAGGTTCAATAATCTCCACATTTTGTTGGTATGGGCACAAAGATGGATCTCTTACAGTCAGTTGGTCAGGTAGCTGTCTTCCAAATTTCTTGGCACGAAAGAATGAGTGCCTCCAGGGCTGCATCCATTTGTTGAAACATCTCAATGGGTATTCCATCAATTCCTGGAACTTTTTTTTGTGTGTGCGAATTTCTCCAGTGCAGCTTGGACTGCTACCTTCAATACAATTCTTGATCTTATGGTACCTCCTGAAATGGTTGAACATCAACCAATACTTTTGGTACTGTGACTCTGTGTATTCATTCCATCTTCTTTTTATGCTTCCTACATCATTCAATATTTTGCCTATAGAATTCTTCAATATCACAACTCATATGCTAACAAGGAAGACAAATTAATATTACTGTTATTCAAATTTTACACAACAACCACTAAAGCCAAAGATGAAGAAATTAAAGATTTTTACCAACTTCTGCAGTCTGAAATTGACCAAACATGCAATCAAGATGGATTGATAATTACTGGATTTTTTCAATTGGAATGGGAAAGTTGGAAATAAAGAAGAAACATTGGTAGTCAGAAAATATAGCCTTGGTGATAGAAATGATGCCAGAGATAACAGAATTTTGCAAGAACAATGACTTATTCATTGCAAATATCTTTTTCCAACAACATAAACAACGAGTATACATGTGGACTTCAGCAGATGGAATACACAGAAATGAAATCCTCTACATTTGTGGAAAGACCCTATGTACATCATACATGGAGAAGCTCAGTATCATCCATCAGAACAAGGCCAGG